GGTGCTGGTAAGAGCAGTCACCGCTACCACCCGGTGAAAGACTCCATCTACTGGTGGGGAGCATCACCTGCTGGAAACCGGGTCCAGCGTCCCTTATACAGATTTAATCAGAAGATCTGAGCATCTCAGGCAAAAGTAAGCAAAAGTAAATAAACCCTGCGAGCATTGATTACCCTGAAAGGCAGGGGATTGACTGTGCAGGCCCTCAACAGGTTTGAAATCCAGAGAATTTGGCTGATCCTGAACCTGCCAGCATTGATTGCTCTGGACGCTAGAGGATTGACTGAGCAGGTTGTTGGGGAAGGGGAGAAAACCTCTTCGCCTTAGCATCAGGCGCCAGATAACAACTACTGAAAAACTGGCCCCTCCCTTCTTCCATTGTTTTGCAATCTTCTGACCATAATCATCACCTTTGCATATCATGGAACCAAAACCCAGTTGTGTCGTCAGTGGACCGGGTCGATGTACAAGGGGGCAGGGGGGCGGGTTCTGCTTCCAGGGGGCGACTGGGGCAGACCACCGATCCTCCCTATATCCTTACCCATCGTGGTCGGTTCACCAAAGTCACAAGTGGAGTGGTTACCCTATGTCGTGGCCGTACCAGCTCAATTCCATCAAAGCATTGTTGGGTAAGGGGAAAAGGTCAGGAAAATCAGAGGCAGGGGGGAGCGGGATGTTACTGGGAATTGTAGTCCTATCGTGGAGGGTCAATCGGTAGTTTTTCTGCGATGTGTCCAGCCGATCGTTGCCATCCTGGTGCCAGCCATCCCACTGAATCTTTGCTATCCATCCTCCCTGTTCACCCCCCAGCCAGTCCATGCAGAATTTGTGTAATTTTTGTACAATGTCTGATCTTTTGGTGAGGGCTACCATTGTTTGCATCGTTTTCTTCCACTGGGCTCTAAGTGTTGTTTCTATCATGTCCTTGATCATGTCCATCATCTCGCCGCTCCCCACATTGGCGTCTTCCAGTGCCAATATGCATTTGCGCCGCCATATGGCCCATAGGACTGCGTCCCTCCCGGCCTTGAACATGGTGGCCGTGAAGGTCGAGGTTTGGGCGTTCCAATGACCAGTTAGCAAGGCTCTCCATTCCCACGGCCAGTTGCTATCTGTTCCTAGCTGGTTCCAAATGCAAACCCACCCCCGCCAAATCAAGATTGAAGCGGGGCACTGCAGAAAAAGATGTTCTATTGTCTCATTAACTTTTTGGGCAGGAAAACCTCCTTTACAGGCCAGGCACCAGGGGAGGGCCACACCTTTCTGTTCTAGGTGGGTATGGTCAATGAGCCATGCGTTTGTGGGTAGACAGCGATGCGTGATCTGCCATTGGAGTGAGGCGGTTTTGGCTGGTTTGGATTGTATCTCCTTAAACCATTTAATGGGTGTCAGTGAATTCATCGGGATATTTAAATGTCTTGCCCAATGATCCACTATTCGGTCCTTTAGGTTGATTCCGGTCCTTAGCATCCGCTAGGAGGCCTTAACCCCCAGTGAGTGGAGATAACGGTATTTCAGTCTGCCATCCCTCATTGGAATCCTCCATCTCCACTCGGCTGCATCTATAGGGAGGTCCTGGATCGGCACCTCTGGTCTGAAAACCACCTAGGAGTCCCCTTCTTGAAGGACCCTCACTCTATGGAGTATTCCAACGTCAATCCAGAAGGCTTCATCCGGCACTCCCCTGATCAGTCCATTGTGCTGTGTACGATAAAAAAATTTCACCAGCTCTTCCTTTGGTCTGTCTAAAATTACTTGACCCACACGCGTTGCATCCCCTCTTAGGGCAACCCAGTCGCCTGCCATCACTGTTGGTCCTCATCGAAGGGTCCTCAGCCATGCAAGAGGGGGGGCGAAGAGGATCTGGTCTAGCCTCTCACCTATTTTTTGGCAGTGGGGAAGCTTTATTCTCAATTGTTCCTCTGAGACCCAGTTAGCCCTGGTTTGGTCCCAGAGATCCCCTACCCTTGTGACCCCGTTTCTTACCCATCCCTTCCACAGACTGCTTGAGCTGAGAAAGACCTGCCCCTGCTGCCCTGCAAGTCTGTCACCCATCGGTTTCCAAATAGAGGTTGGAGCAAAACTTCCTCCCAACGTTCTGGGAATGGCCTAACCAGAAGCGGGAGCCTCCTCCAGTCCTTAATTAGGTTGATCCAAAATTCGTCTTTCCTCTGATCCTTACGGGCTGCTGCCCTCTCTGAGTGTGGTTGTTATCGGGTGGAGGGTCTGGGAAGTGCCCAGAAAACATCGTCTAACCATGTCATTGGGTGTATGGTAAAAGCAGCCTCTGGTGCTAGTCTCGAGAGTTGTTCCCAGGCCAGGGGCTCTCAGGTGAGTCCAGGGGTGCAGATAAGCCGCTTCAACCATTGGAGTGAAAGGGCGGTCGTTTGGGTGGTCGGGTCGAGTATTCCCAAACCACCTTGCGACCTTGGTTGTACCACTGCATCCCAAGCCACCCGACTAATGGTATGATGGGCTTCGTGGTTGCGTCTCCATAGGAAGGCTGCTACCTGCCGTCTCAGGGCCTTTGAAGCCTCTCTGGTCAAGGGCCAAATTGCTGATTTACACCAGAGTGCGGCCAGGACCACATTATTTATGACTAGGGTCATTCCCAAGAGAGATGTGTTTTTATCCTTCCAAGCTCCCAGCTTTTGCAGGGCCGGAGACATTATCCAATTATCATTAGTAATCGGTTTTCCTTCCGCTGAGAGTTGGATTCCCATGACTCTAATGGGGGTTTTGAGGGGAAGGCAAGTCACCTTTGGGCTCTCCGGGGGTCTACCACTATCATGATGCATCCACCACCCCAATGTTTTGCTGCCCCAATTGATTGCCATATCAGAGAGGGAGCAAAAACGGGTCATCAATCTTTCAATTTCCTCCATATTTTGAGCGAAGGCCTCCACCATCAAGGTGAGGTCATCGGCAAAGAGTGAGCACACCTGCAATGCGTCTTGTGGGATGGAGGCCGCCCTGATTCTACTGATGTTCCGGCTGGCTCTAAGATTGGCCGCCAAGACCTCCAGTACTACCACGAAAAGGTAGGGTGCGATCGGGTCTCCTTGGCGGACGGATCTCCGTAGCGGAAAATTTAGGAGGCTGTCATTTACCTGAACACACGTGGTGACATTTTGGTGGAGAATACGTACCCATTTCCGAAAACATTCGCCAAAGCTAATTTTTTCCAAACATTTATCCAAGAAATGTCAATCCACGTGGTAGTATGTTTTTTCAAAATCTATAAAATAAAGGCGGCATTGCACCTAGACTGTCGAGCTAATCGTAATGGTTCATTAACTTGGAGGATGTTGTCATAAATACGCCGCCCTTTGAGAAAACCAGTTTGTGAGCGGTGGATGATTTGCTCCAATGTCGGAGCCATACGGTTCGCCAGTGCTTTAGATATCATTTTATAGACAACTGTTAACAACATGATTGGGCGGTAGTTTCGAATATTCATCTTGTCACCTTTTTTATATAGCAGTGTAAGAACCCCTTGGCCCACTGCTTCCCCCATATCTCCTTCCTGCCATACTTTCTCATAGAAAGACATCAAGTCATCCCCCATCAGTGACCAAAAGGTTTCCCAAAATTCTTTCGGGAACCCGTCCACTCCAGGGGTCTTCTCCTCCTCCATCTACATAAGAGCAGTCCATATCTCTTCCCTGGTGAGAGGACGGTCCAAAGCTTCCTGTTCCTCCTGGAGGAGTGAATGGTTTAGGGGTTTGAGGAAGTCTTCAATCGCTCGATCTCTTATGATGATGCTGGTGTCCTTAGTTTGTGAAGTAAAGAGGGTTTTGTAGAAATCTCTGGCCACCTTCATACATTGAAATGTGGAGGTGGCTAGTGGTTTCTCGGGATCGGTGGGGTCTAGGAAGGCCTCAATGGTTTGCCTCTTTCCCGTGGCTCTTGCTAAGGCAAAGAAATCAGAATCCATGGCTCCTTCCGTAAAATGTTTGGAGAGTTTACCTCTAATCCTTATGCCTTGCCATCTATAAGTTGCAAAGTCGAGCAGTTTATTTTGCAAGTTCTGTAATTGCAGGGTGGGATTTTGTTGTTGAAGATCCTGAATTTGGTACTGAATCTCCATTTCCTCTTGGTAACATTTTCAACCAGGTTTTTAGAAAATTCTTTGCTTTTACTGACCAGAAAAAAAAAGTCCGTTGTTAAACAAAGTGACCTCAGATTCGAAGTGTTTTTTCTGCTGGTGCCAGTAGGACCAAAGGCCTTGGATCAGGTGGACGAAGTCCTGTCTGTGTAAAAGCGAGGTGTTGAGTTTAAAGAAGCTCGGACCATGGTCCGGTTTCTGACGAAAGGTGAGGGTGACCCCGCATAAAGCATGGTCCAACTCCATGAAGGGGCTGCGGGGGAGGAGGTAAGCAAACCGCATAGCACCTGCAAGGTCCTGTGACATAAGAATCAAGTCAATTATGGACCTGGATTGCGTTTCTGCCCCCGTCGTGCGGAAACAAGAGTATCTTCTTTCGGTTGGGAAGACTC